TCTGTTGCTGGATTACCGTACGCCAGTGATTGCGCGATAATACTGGCGTTCGCTACGCCGCGCACAAGTTCACACCACTCGATTAACGTTACGCTAGCGTAAGTCGTTGTGTCTGAACATAGCCATATATGCATAACAGAAAACAATACACACATATTTATTTAAATTTATTCAAAATGTGTTCCTCAAGGGTCAGTACTTGGACCATTATTATTTTTTATTTTTGTTAATGATTTACACAATGCTTACAACAAACTGAACATTATACCCTTCGCTGATGATACCACTCTATTACTCTGGCTCTAACACCATGAATTTATTTAGTACAGTAAATTATGAAATTAAAGAAATAGCAAACTGGTTAACCATAAATTTTAATAAAACTAATTATATTCTGTATAGACCATATCAATGTACTTGTGATCTTCGTAATGCTGTAATTAATATTGTTGATAATATTATTGAGAATAAGCCTAATACATTATTGCCCCATCGCTTTTGATCAAGATTGATGTAAAGCATAACAATGCTACATGCGGCCTTATATAAATCAAGTATACCATACCAGAAACCATACCGCTAATTAACATAAGCTGTAATTATTTGAAAAATCAGCCTATCACTGGTACGAACTGCGCGTAGCAAAATGATGGTAATATGTTGTTATGGAAACAAAGAGTACGTCTTCCAGCACTAGAGTGATTTCACTTTTATAGCGCTTCATGTGGCGTAAGGAAGTTTATAATCCATGAAACAGCCACCGTAATGGAGCCGAGCTTGTAAGTAACCATCCCACTATAAAATGTGGTTTATTGTTCTAATCTTTCATTTCCTATTGCTATTTAACTAACACTAACTGTTCTTGTTAGTTCAGAATAGATATTACTGGTGGACACCATTTTGAAAAAAAAAATTATAATCTTAATAGCCTATTATGCAATTCTCGTTTAATAATCAAATCCCACCCTGTACTTATGGATCTATAAAATAAAATTTTAAGTAATATTTCACAATTTTTAAATTTATATTTGGTATAATATTGTGTTCATTAAGTTTCATTAATACATAGGCATACGTCGTTTTTTTTTTACATTATTGTAAAGTCATATAGTAAAACTGCTTAAATAAAGTTTATATCGTTTGTCTAATCGTACTTGGCTGCATACAATTTATTCATTTTTATATTTTGTAGTCATAATAATTTACTACAAGCATTATATTTTAATAATACGTTATATGTCCAATGATCTCTACAGCCAGCAACCACCAACCAGCAAACGCGTCAAAAGGAAAGACAAGGATGGCAAGAGTACCACTTCAAGTGTTGCATCGATAAGTCCGGTAAAACTCTTCATAAGTGTTAAACATTAATTTACTTATCATGGTTGGAATGTGTGTAAGATTTTAAACTATAGATGAGCGAATCTTATAATTTTGAATCTTTAACATTAATTGCATATTTCTTTTGGTATTTCTTGTTACTTGTTTCTTTTATATCACTCTTACTTACGACTACAAAGTGCTAATTTTTCCCCACTATTGTATACACGTAGAGGTTCCTATAGTTGTCTCAGTTTCCTCTCGAGCGAAGTTGCCACGAGCTAATACCAAAACGTAAAAACAAATTAAATCATTAGTAATTAACATAAAAATATTAATAAATAAACCCAATACAATAGGTCAAAAACACACCGACTTAACGTCGTTATTTATTTTATAGGCGACAGATACTACCCGAGGAGCAGTAAAGAATAAATGTAACGGCATCTGCACTGGTGCATCCTCTTTGGCTCCGAGTGGCAAGAAACAGCAAATGGTCAAGATGATGACCCTCATTCTGTTGCCCATATTTGCCCTAGTAGCTTTGGCCATTTCTGATCTCATAACAACTGTGAGTCGCAGTATTAACGCAACTGAAACGCGTCGGAATGTTCGTTTAAGCCAACAGGTAACATAATGTAACAACATTACCGTACATTTAAGATGCAAAATTTTCACTTGGTGGTGTTGAAATATAAAGCTTCATCATTAAATTAAATTGTGACTTCATGTAGAGTATCAGGTTTATCCTTATAATAAATTAATGGAAAAAAAACGTTAACTATACTGTACGGCTTATTTACATTATTCATAGAATTTTACCGGTTAAATCCAAATCTTAATTTCATTCGTTTGGGTTATAAGTTATTCTTTGCGTGATTAAAACTCTGGTGGCACATGTTAAAACACAGTTAATCTCTACAGACAAACTTGCGGTATCTAATATAATTATTGACGTATACAGAATATTAAGATTCTTGTTTGCCCTTTTGTTTCACAGGTTGGATCTCTTATCCATAGTTTGCAGCGAGAGCGTGATATGACCGCGCTCTACATTAGCTCACTGCTAGAAGAGAACGGACCAGAACGGAAGACCTTTCTCATCGATACCTACCCAATGACAGACGAGGTTATAGAAAGTCTTAATGACTGGCCAATGAAAGAAACAAGGGCATACAAAAAATTCAAAAACAAGCAAACCTTTATGAACTTTCTCATTAAATATCGTTTAACACTGGACAACCAAAACACAACCATCTACCAGGTAATCCACTTCTACACAGACGCAATACAGATCTTCGTTGACTGGTTCAACGAAAGTGTCGGAAAATCTGGCGGACAAGGTGTCTGGGAAACATTGGTTGCCTATCAGCTATTAATTGTTGGTATGGAGCAAATTGGTATTGAACGAACATTGGGTGCGGTATTTTTTACTCAAGGCGGGTTTCAGCAAGACGATTACCTTTGGTATATGAAGAAACTACAAGTCGGTGAGAGTAATATAAAGTCATCTAAAAAATACTCATCTCTAGTCAGCTCCATGTTAACAGAAAGAGTTTCTCAGGTCAAGTATGATTTTCAGACCACAATTTCGAAAATGAGAAAAGAAATATCTCAGAATAACATTAACAGACTTCCATCATGGCAAGAGGGGACCTGGTGGTTTGACAACATGACCATATACATCGATACCTTACATGAAATCCAGAGTCGGATGGCAGTGATTATTCTTTCCAGACTCGACGAGGCAATGAAGGCCGATACAGCTGGTTTATCGACTGGTATCAGTATCATGGTGGTCGTCATCATCATAGGATTAGTAATATTTAAAGCAGTTGAATCTTTGACATCATCGATCCAAGATTACACTCTCGTACTTGCTGACCAAACAAAAAAACTAAAAACTGAAAAGGAACGTACAGATACGCTGTTGTACCAAATGCTTCCGAAGTCAGTGGCAGAAAATTTGAAACGTCATCAGCATGTTAAAGCTGAGTCTTACTGCTCGGCGACAATCATGTTCTCAGATATTGTTGAATTCACTCGAATATGTTCTAAAAGCACTCCTTTTCAAGTTGTCGATATGTTGAATAATGTTTACACGATTTTTGACAAATATATTGACAGATATGATGTTTACAAAGTTGAGACAATAGGTGATGCCTACATGGTTGCATCGGGTAAGCAAAGCTTATGATAACATTAATGATAATAATAATAAATAGGATTTAATATAATATATAAATATAAGTTAAAATAAATATATTTTAATAATTACAATAGTTTATAAATTTAAAATTATATTGTTCAATAGCCACACGTAAGGATGAACTGAAATAATTATAGTGATGATTTAATCTACAAAGTGGTGAAATAGAGATGAAAAATTATAATATACATAACATAATGAGTAATGATAGGCCTAACCATTAATAGAAAATATTTGTTTTTATTAACAGGCATACCGAAACGAAATGGAAATAAACACGGTAGCGAAATCGCTCTTCTTGCATTAGACCTTATACATTGTATTAAAGGTGTTGGTATCCCACATAAACCAGGTTACTCTATGACGATACGAATCGGTATACACACAGGTAGGTAATCAAAACACACGTTTGCAATTTGAAGGTTTATCTTTCATCTCATAATAGAGTTTTCGAGTTGACCGACGATGTGAATGTAGAACGGATTCACTCATCCGTGACCGTCTATCGCTCTCTGCACGACGTAAATTTGGGCCAACTGCATTCGTTAGCTGTATTCTGATTATTGTGTTAAATTTTTAAAATAAATAAAAATTGTGTAAATTACAATAAAAATTGTATCGTAGATAATATACTGTATGTATTTTATGTAACATTGAGCTAACAAAAATGTATTGAATGTTGCCAATTGATTTAATGGTTTCATTAGGCATAGGCCTAGCTAAGCTGAATTTTTATACATGTAAAAATAATGCGGTATTAATGTGTTAATTATTTTAACGAAGGTGCTGTTGTTGCCGGAATTGTCGGTTCCAAGATGCCTCGTTACTGTTTGTTCGGTGAAACCGTCAACATGGCTTCCCGGATGGAATCAACTGGACTCCGTATGTATTTATATATCATGATCAAAATTTAATATAGGTCTATTAAAAAATATATATATTTGGAAAACCGTAACTGTAGATAAGAAACATTTAATTTGGTTACCCTTTTTAAAACGCCCGTTTTAACGGTCTATTTACTTTCATAGCAAATCGTATTCAGATAAGTGAAACAACTCACAACATTCTGTCGAACATTGGCGGTTTTTTAATGAATACGAGAGGAGAAATTTTTATAAAGGTAGGTGGATTGGCGTTAAAGGTAGGATTTGTAATCCCTACGCACGAGTAATGCGCCAATGTGAGGGAACTACAATAATTATCTCTTCGGTAAAATTGGTGCTGTAACATTGATTTTCCTCAAAGACAAATGGGCCATCTGATTAACACAAGATAATAAATACATTTGAATTTAAAACCATATAATAACAAATTCTCATATAAGCCCCACATTAATTTATAATATTTACAGGTAGTATATTTCATACCAAATGATATATTTACAGGTAGTACATGTTCCATAAAAAATGATCTAGTTTTCATTAAAAAAAAAAACACCAAATAACAGCATCAATTTAGACAAAATAATAATAATAAAAAAAGAAAAGCAAGATTGAGATTTTAACCCCATACGTTCGATCATCTTTACACACAAAACATGCATCTTTACCGCTCGGCTAAATTTCACCTGCCTATAGCTATACAGTAATATTATACCTCTGCAATACCACAACAGGCCGATACAAAGAAATGGCGCGACAGTTTTTATTCTCAGATTATCTATTATTTGTGCATCTTATAATTTTTCCCCCATATTTCATTATATATAAAGATATTTTTTTTAAATTAGGACAGCAGCTAAAAAAAATCTGCGTAGTCGAAGTTTTAACTACGACTAAATCAAGTCCTAGTTGTAGTTCAGCTGAAGACGGCTGGCAAGCAACGACTATCAAACTAACCAATGAAAAGAGCTAATTTAAATAGCAGACGAAATTTTAGAGATCCGGTAAGGCGGAAGAATATTAAACTGCCGTCCGTTTTTCAAAAACAAATTTCCTCATAATTCATAATAGACCATTATTCGCCTAAACTATATTATATAATAATAACTATATTAGTCGTTAACATCTAACGATAGAGAATTTCCTGTCACTGAAAATTTGCTTTCTTTAGAGAACTATTATAGTTGAGGTCGAGCGAGGGCGGCCCCATCTTTGTTGTTGTTACGGTGAATCTACGTGACCGCAACGCGACAGGATTTCGTGCAAATGAGGAACTGTTGCATGTGGCTAGCAAAACATGCTAATTTCGCCTTTTGGAAGCTAAACGTAATGTCCCTTTCCTTGAACACAGTGGAGATACATCAGACCTACTTATACAATCGTTTTTATTCATTTCACTTTATCGTAAGTTACAAAAAGCACGTTTTCATTGGGGTAAATATTTCAAGTCGGCGATTTAGCCTGACCCTAGGCTGACTAAAAAAATCGGCCTGTGGAGGTATAATTTTAGGCGAGGTTCGCGTCATTTAGTCGTAGTGCTAGTCGAAGTTCGTTTTAAGAATACGAAATGACGTAATTTTTAAGTTTTAGCTCGAACTGTGGCTAAAGTTCGTTTTAAGAATACCGGGGTCAGTCGAACGATGTGTTCGAGTTGGCTCTGTCAGTTGCGACAAAACTATATAAATAAATAACGTTCTAAAATCTACATCCTACTTCTGATGAGCACCAAATCGGGGAAGACCGAGATACATGTATTATTGTCAATGTGTGTAAGTTTGAAGTTAAACGATCCAGTAGTTTTTGAGCTATGCTCCCGGAAGGACAAACACAAACGTCACAAACAGACAGAGAGCCCGACAGACGGAGCTCATTGTAATACCCTCACCCTACTTCGTGGGGCGAGGGTAATAACAATTACAGAACGAAAGGAAATATATTACGTCTTCTCATATAAGCTAAATAAAGATATTTTTATAAATTATGTAAAATATTACAATCATTTGATGACAATAATCGATAGAACTTAAACATTTTTTGGGTTTATATAAAAGAAAGACGAATTACGTTTTTCCTAATGTCATTATAACGTAAACATACTAAGTTAAATGCAATTCGTCTCCCTGCATTGGTCTGAGCATAATTTACATATTCTACTGTTTTTGCTGACTTTATTCCATCTGCCTTTCTCTTCTAAATCTAGAATACAAATTCGAACATATGTCTATAATCAAATCTGTCTATAAATAATAAATAATTTTCTAATTTAAACTCATTTTTTAAAGGATTTAAAATGATTTAATCTAGAATATGTTTATATGTTTGGACTTTTTCTTTTATTGTAATGTTGTCTTTCTATATCAATGAGTTTCAGTCTTAGCTAAGAAATAAAAGAATCAGAATCAACTCCATGTTGTAAAAACCAGACATAAATAAAACCAATAGACTTTTCCGGAGTGTCAATCAAACTTAACAACTGACTAATCAGAACAGCGCTAGGAATACGCGCACCTCTTACAAACACACGTGTTGTCCAAAAACGCACGTGTTCGCGTATGTTTTAACACTGCCGTCTTGTGGGACCTTAGCAACAATATCCAAGGGGCGGAGCTTAGCGGAAAGGTCCATTGAACATAGAATTTTTCTTAACATAATATAACCAATAGGCCTATAATTCATTTCGTTCGACTTTTCTAAATTGAAAAAGATAACATTCATAAATATAACGATCATGTTCATTTCACTTAAGCGTAAACAATAACCAAACACATTAATTAAACATGTAACGTAAAGGGAAAATTGTCCTATATCTCCTGTTGCAGTCATAGCTGGTGCATTTGTGCTTAATCCTAACACAATTTTACATGCCCCATAATTCACTTTCATATGTCAATATTGGTAGAATTTTTACATCAAACATATGATTTCATATATTGGCTGGTACGTAACTAAAATGTCTATTGACAAAAGCTTTTAAAACTGCATTAGCATGATTACAATTTGTTTCTCTATCACTTTTCGTTGTCCGGTTGAACTAAATACAACTCCCAGATATTCAAAGGAATTAACAATTTGATGGGTTCTATATTATAATGCCATCTTTCAAATCGCTGTAATTTGCCACCTCTTTTAAACACTATGATTTTGGTTTTATCGCTATTTATTGTTGTTAAATTCCAAGTTTCACAAAAATCAAAAAGTTTATTTTATTAAGATTGTTGTAATCCATAAATTGTATCATTAACTAGAATTAAATCGTCGACATAATTTAAATGATTAAATAATGCATTGCGTAGACCTAATTTATTTTTTTTCTCTATTTTCAGATTTAAAATTTCACTTAAGTCATTAATGAAAATATTGAATAATAGATAGTGATAATAAGGAGGAACCTTGTTGTACACAAATTTACACTGGAACGAAAGCCCTATGTTATCACCAATTACTGTTTCTAGAATAAAGATGTTATCCGTAGTGCGATATCCTTTGCGAAAACCGACTTGTTTTTAGTTTAATACATTAAAGTTTTCTACCCATTCAGTTAATATTGAGTTAAGTATAGAGAAACATTTTACTTCAATCGGAACCAGTGATGCTCCTCCATAGTTATTTAGATTTCACGATTATTACCTTTTTGTTTATTGGTACAATTAAACTTATTGCCCATTACCATTGTGAAAGCTCGTATTTAGTAAACATTTAATATTATTTAAAAAAAAACACAAACCAGTCGATTCCAGGAGCTTTATTTAAGTTTTGAATTTAATTGCATTTTTTATTTCATCAAATGTAAAATCTTAAATTGTGTAATCACGATTATCGTAATAGGCCTATCTTCTTTATTCACCTCATTTAACGGGATTCGTTGAATGACTGTGTCTTCTGGTTAAAATAAATCATTAAAATGGTTAGTCAATCTGTTAAAAGAATTTTTAAAAAAGTGTATTGGTTCTTTTAATTTACTCCAAAATGATTTAATATCTTTTTCGGCAACTATATCAGTGTGTTTTTATTTAAATATAGGCCTAATGCTTCCTTTCTTCATATTTCTATTCATTTGAATGCATGCTTTCATGAGATCTTCTACATTTATTTAGACAAGTTTTAACGTATTGTTTATATCTTAAGCATTCCTCATCACACCAGCTATTACGAGAATATGCAAATTCATGCCTCGTTTATTTTGCACCGGTTTACACATACCTACACACATATATTGAATAGTTTTACTAATGTAGTGAACTGCGTCGTCAATATTATTTATGTTTGTGTTTCCATCTTGCGTTAAAACTTGGCAATTGACTGTATTTTCTGACCCAGTATACTTATTTTACTCTATGAGTATAGTTTCAGAATTGGCGTTATCATTTTCTCTATTAAATTTAGCATACATTAAACCATATGTAAACGGCATATGATCTGATTCAATACGGTTGTCTATGTTAATTGATGAATGTATAAATCCAGTAAACATAATGACAATTATTTAAGTTATTTTTTTTTTTTTATCCAGGGGCGTGGAATTGTTTTGACTTATTGGCTCATTGAGAAGGAAACATTCAGCGTGAGTCAGTCGGTTTCCATACCAATGCAGTTGCTCAACTTACAGTTGCCCGGACAATGCGTTCTCTAGTTCGTCACGAACCAACACAAGTACGAACATTACCAAGAAAACAAGCATCAAGCGAAGGGGATGCTATGTGCGTAGATTAACAAAGTGGATACCATCTAAACTTACATATAAAGAATCTCTATACTGTATATATACTTATTTTGTATATGTATATTAGTTCTATCAAGACCCATTCATTGTTTCTCACAGTATTATATATATACTCCTGTTACCTTCGTCGACGCTTGAGACACTTATATATACACATATATATATATACATATACATATATATACATATACATATACATATATATATACATATACATATACATATATATACATATATATACATATACATATACATATACATATATATATATATACATATATATACATATACAGATACATATATATACATATACATATACATATACATATATATATATATATACATACACATATATATATATACACACATACATATACATATATATACACATACATATACATATATATACATATACATGTACACATATACCTATATACATATACACATATACATATACACATATACATATATATATAAACACATATACATATATATATACACATATACATATATACACACACACACATATATATATATATATATATATATAAGTTTGAAAGGCAAATGGGGAAAACCCATAAAACAGCAAACGGCCATATAATGCAAAACAATTTAAAATTAAAATTAAAACGGAACGGTAGAGAAAATCTGATCAGAATGACAAAATAAACTAAGCGTCCACTGGAAGGAATCCCAATATCTGTAGACGGTCCGTTTCGGCCTTCCAGGCCTCATCAGTGCAGCTTGGGTACAGACCCAAACGAAACGTTCGACCAGCTTAGGTAGGGCCCAAACTAGTCCCAC